AATATATTTTAGTACTGAAACATTTCATTTTTCGGGTTGAGCCCTATGAAATTATTAATCTCCAACAAACGTACCCTAAGACTCACTTGTTATTTATATGCAGTGAATGGCAGCTTATTTACCCAAACATTAGAGTGATCCAAAATGTTCAGCTAAGCAGGAACACAAAATATGATATTATATTATGTAAATGGGTTTGTGATACGCTCTGCTGGATAATAACTTCCAGATGTCTCCGTAGCCAGAGGCTGACGGATATCAAAGGCAGGTTGGCTGGGAGGGGAGACAAGCCAGCTGGCGAGACTGGCTACTGCTAAGTGTAGCGGAAGGTGGAAGCTGGTGTTTCTTCACACTCACTGGTTTTATTTGTGGGCTAGTGAAAAGTCAGCGGCTCGTAGCCTTCTTGTCACGAGCAGGATAGGGCTGGAGGGGCTGCTGGCATCCCATGTGTCTGGTTCTGTCAGGGGATTATTTTTTGACCTCTTTTACGAGTGGAGGTTGGGTTTAGTGTGAGTCTCCCAATGGATGAAAGGCTGACGAGCCACACACCAACACTGACAGGAGATTATAGACTCACTAAAGGGTTTTTCCAACTTATCCTCTATTCCCAGTGCCAGGTGCAGACATTCCCAAACAAGGAATGTCCCTGAGCTCTCAGCATGGTGGTGTAAATGGAGTTAGTTGAAGCACCCTGCAGCCTCACCAATTTGGAGTAAGGTGTCCTGAAGCTCTGAGGTTTTGAAGTCTGACAGTCCTTTTGGGATTTAGCTCTGTGTCCTCTTCCCAGTGCAGCAGATTGTGTTCACCACCCTTAAAGGCAATTCTAGACTGAAAAGGGACTGGAAATGACTCCTGGGAGACTCCACTGGAGCTGCTGACATGGACCCCAAGATACCCCTATACCTTCTGTGAAGCAGGCTGGGAGAGGAAAGTTCTTTTCACAATCCTTACAGATTGTGAAATTTTAGAGTTGTGATTGAGGTTGCACCTCCTCCAATCTCACAATGCTTTCTAAAAGCTTGATCTGCCATCTCAGTGAATGGTTTCTGATTGATTTCTATATTTTTTTAATTGATTTCAATTAATAGCCAAAATAAAACCCAAATCAAAGAAGTGGTAAGGGGAATTGCAGGACAGATTCTGTGACTCTGAGCTGCAGTTGATCCTCAGCTCTTCAGCTGCATTATCAGATGCAGGGAGGATGGTCTCTGAGAGGCTCTTCCTCTGCCCTGCAATTGCTCATAACAAATATTAGAGCTGCACATTCCAGAGAAGGAAGCATCTCTCAGCAGAAGATGGAAGGCCTGCGTTACGATTTGCCAGTGCTGGCAGTGTCCATGTGTGTCACAGTTATGGGCCAGATGCCCACTGGATAACTCAGAGACAAGTGTCAATCCCAGGCTTGCAGAATTTGGGCTTTAAATAATACATCCATCACAGGACTGCTCAGCTTCATCAGCAAGTTTTTAAAAATTCTGCCCCAATACAATGTTAAGGCATTAGATCCTACTGAATCCAAACTCTCCTAATAAGTTTACATCCCAGCATGGGCTCTTCTCCTGTTGTTTCTCTTCATCCCACAATTTGTAATTACTTTTTCCCCTTGATCTTGAATGTTTTCATCTGTTTTGGCTCAGCTGTATTTCTCTAGCTTATCAGTGTCCTAAAGTGATAGACAGGCATAATTACTGAATTATCTGACAATTTTATATCCTCCTGTAATTATCTTTGTATTACCAAAGACAGTGCTCACATGTTCCATGTTAAGAGTTTGATCCTGTTGTAACGAGTTATAAATGTCACCCTGTACTTTTTGGAATGGAGAGTGGATTTCACTTTCCCCTGGGCACGTGTTTCATGGATTGCCTGATGCTGTAGACCATCATTTTCGTGCCATATGTAAGAGACTCACAAAAACAATAGGAGAGAAACCACCCCAAAGCAGCAGCACTAAAGGTGTTTGACTTGATTTTGTGAAGGACTGTGGACAGTTTGTGCTCTGGTGTCACTACAAAAGGTGGAGGAATATTTTGTCTTTTAAAAATGCATCTGAGATTCCGTAAAGCATGTGGCCAGTGAGGCCATGAAAAAGGAGCAGTTGTCATCTCAGTAAAAGCTATTACTCAGCAAAACTAGAATTGGAAGCTGTATTTTAGAATTATTTTATATGGTGTCATATTCTGCTTTTGAGTTGAACTTCAGATTCTTGCAAACTCAAAAGCACTGGAGAGTTTTCTGGTGCTCACAGTTTGACAATGCTGCTATTCCAGATATGTTCTGGGATGTTTCAGTCAGAGATCTGAATAGTTCTGGCATTTATACTCACCAGACTTTGTTACTGCATTTGTCTCACAGCTTTTAAGCAGCAGAAAATATGTACAACATATTTAAACAACACCAGAGAAATTAAGGTCAAGAGAATGCATTGTCAACAAATGAAGATAAAAAAGAGCTGTTGTTTAAAAAAAGAAAAAAAATTGTTGTTGCAAGATGCTTTTGAAATCCTGCATATCAAATTCAGAGTCATGTTGATGATTTATTCTAATATAGGAAAACATCATCAAGAGTGACAAGCAAGCTAGTCACTGTCTAGTCACCTGCCAGCAAGTATTTCATACAGACTAAAAAGGCTGGTATTGCCTTGCTGAGCTGACACTAATTATTTCAGTATACATGGAGCTTTGGGACTCGTGTTAATTCTCCAGTCTGTCTTTAGTTCAGACTCATTCCACTGTGTAAACTCAGAAGAGCACAAATTATTTGACCATCCTTTCATAATCTGTCCCCATGCTCACTTGCCAATTATATAAACTGATCCAAATACCTGCTCTCAAAGGATTCCCATTTGGGAATCACAAGCCAATTTAAAAAAATGGGGGATATCTACTATTCTGTGGCTCATGTCTCATAGTCCTATTTAATATTGTCATGCATTTCTGGGTGTCTTCTTTAGATAAGATTGATTTCATCAGTGTTCAGAAAAGATACCTTTCTGTCAATAAAATAATTTTTAAATTGAACCTGTTTTGGATATAACATTTCATCCCATGGGAAGGAGGAGGTCAGCAGTGCCTACCAGTGTCCTGGCTATCCCAAGAAAGTCTTCCACTGCCACACCATGATTCTGTTTCTTTGTTTATTGCCCACTTCAGTAAGCACATGGTGCTGTGATTTCATGATTTTGTTGAAAGTGTGTAAACAACACTTAGGTGAACACAACCCACATCACAAGTGTGAGACAGGACCTGAGGAAAATGCCTCTGTGTGTGACTGAAAAGACCATATTTGTCTGTTCTGTGAAAATTCAGCTCTGGAACAGGCTTGTTTTTAATTTTTGCAGTAAAAATAGCTGCATTTTGGGACAAATGCTTCCAATCCTTGCAGCCAGTGGATGTCTGCCCTCCAGAGGTAAGAGAGATCAGAGCCATGACCAAGCTGTGAGCATGGGCTCCCTGCTGCTGTGCCCTGCTCTCAGTGTCTCCAGCCTTTCTGGGGAAAGTCCACACAGCCCTGGAGCCACACCTCAGTTTAACTTTCATTTGCTCTTTAGTTATCATATACTGTGTAGTCTGGAGGTGACTGCCTATTTCTTTACCTCCCGATCAGGAATTGTAATGTGCATTTAATAGATGGATTTACATCAAACTAGAAGGCCTGAAGCAATGATTCCCACTGAAATCAGTGCCTACAGATAACTGCTTGGAGGGTGTTTGGGTTTTTATGTTTGGAGTAAAAAAAAAGTGAATGTGGTTTAAAATGGCAGGAGCCTCAGAAAATGCTTTGATAGCTGTTCTTGCATTGTTCTTGTGTGTTGGGGCATTGGGTTTGGGGTGAGTGGGTTTTTTTGGAGAAAAATAGCTGAAAATTGTAACATTCAGAGAACAGTATTCCCACTGGATCTTACCTCAAATGAAAAGAATGTAACTTGCAGTCTTTGTGATTTATGAAAGTTTAAACATTTTCTGGTGGGAGTGCAGGTCACCATATGGTAACAAAAGCCCTTGCTAGTTATCTTTTCTGCAGACTTTCAGAAGTAATTGCTGGAATCCTAGAAGACCACAGAGTATTGAAGTATTGGGACTGCATAACCTCTGAAGAGCCTTCCCAAATCTACATTTCATTGATTCATCATTCTGTAAAGCATAAATTTTCTAATAGTGAGCCAGTCTCTCTAAGTCAAAATCATGGTCCTACCATTTCCATTTTTACTCATAGCATTGTAGCATATCCAGCACCAAAGTATTCCATTCAGAGAATCCATAGTTTAAAAAAAAAACCAAACAAACAAACAAACAAAAAAAAACCACGAAGAAGGACTCAGAGTCACACCAAATAATGAAAATTTACTGTGTCTGAAATGTATTACACTTCCCAGGCAGCGAGGGGTGTGCATTTTGGGATTGTATTCAAAACCCAGCTCTCATATAAAGATCATTTGTTATGAAGCACTAAAAATCTGATCTAATGCACCTTTGCAGCCATGGGGCTGACTCTCCCTCTGGCTGGGGTTGGGTTTGTGTGGTAGAATACTTTTGCAGAACCACAGACTGCAGGTTTTTGTAGCCCTGCTTATGCTTAATACCGGACTACAAACTGGACCCATGACTTGGACTGCAAAGGAATCTTCTTCAATTTTTTTTGTGTTCTGGTAGATTGTACTTATGGAAAATTTTCAGCAACTTCTTTACCCCAGTTCTCTGCTGCGTCTCCTTGCAGCCGGTGTAATGAAGACAATACATTCTGGGAGGCGTCTTGGCTTGGGAGTGACAGCTCCATGTATTTGTGAATGGTTTCATTGATGAGGTGGTGTTAGGTCATAGGTTTGACTTGATGATCTGCAAGGTCTTTTCCAGCCTAGCTGATTCTCTGATTCTGTGACAGCAGAGCTGCCAGTAAACACGTCGTGTCTTTGTTCCACGCGGCTGTTTATGCCACTGTTGGACAGGTCCTAAGGAGTGGGGAAGAAGCTAACTGGTTGTGCTTTCTTGTTCCCAAAACAGCCCAAAGGAAGGAAGGCACTGCCTGGAGAGCTGGTGCAGCAGCAGAGTGACACCCTGCTGCCGTGGCGGCAGCACCAGAGTGCCAACGGGCTGCGGCGGCAGAAGCGGGACTGGGTCATCCCACCCATCAACGTGCCAGAGAACTCCAGAGGGCCCTTCCCGCAGCAGCTGGTCCGGGTGAGTTCAAGTACAAACCAGTGATAGCAGTGCTAATAATAACGGTGATCTTGTAATGGCTCTGGTGAAGCAGCGGGTGTGGGAAGCCTGGCTCAAAGCACAGGCTCTCTGCTCCTGCAGGAATGGTTGCCTTTTCCATGCTGCACCAAAGCTCCTCACCCCAGTTTCCCTCCCCAGCTGACGGCAGCCTAATCGCCTCCTTCCAGCCAGTCCCTCCTGAGACACTGGCACTGCTGCCAGGATGGCACTTTGCCCACGCTCTCATCCAAAAAGCGGCTGCAGGTGTAAAAGCTGGGCTGGGTGGCACCCAACGCCGAGGGTGCTGCATCCTTCCCTTGCCATCCCTCGCTCCCGCGCCCATCCCGCTGCAGATGCGCGGCGGCCCGGGGGAGGTTGGCTGCCTGCCGCCGCTGCAGATGGATCCCGCAGCCTCCCCTGTGTTGCTACTTTCTTTCTTCACAAGGATAATCTCTGAGATCAAGTTTACCCATGTGGTTTTCCGTGATGATTATGGGATGACAGGAAAAGAAAAGGAAGGGAAAAGGAGTGTTTTGCAGAGACATTTGGTTGATTTATTGTTGCTGTTGATAAGTGTTAGTGAAATACAAACACATGTTGCTATTCCTCTTGTGGGTGCTGGTTTCAGTTTTTTGGAGCAGTCAAATGATTAGCTGTAAAAAAAAATAAATAAGTAAAACTACTTGGCAGACATTTGCAGCTAGCTCTTCCCTTGGAAGAAAATGGCAACAATATAAAATTTCAGGAGTTATTTCAAGTAGCAGTGGTGTGTCATTGGCATCCCTTCTCAGGAAGTTTATTTAGTCCTTTTGAAGCAGTGTCTGGATTCACATCAGTTTCATCGTTACCTGTTTCTGTGCCTAGGAGGAAGGGGCATGTACCCAATTTAACCAGGGATTGTTTAAGCTTGGATTGTTGGTGTCATTTTTCTGTGCAATGAGGGAGTACAATAAGGACTAAGAAGTTCCACGTGGCAAATTAAACCAGGGAGGGAATCCAGAGAGTCTTTGTGTGGTGAGCAGTGTGGGTATGGAATGAGCCATTAATGTGTTGTCCTACTAAGCTGAAGAAATGTCTGAAGAGGAGAATAACCTGATGTGTCAAAAATGCCTCTCTAAATCAATAATTTAGATTAAATCTTGAATTCCTGTGAAAAACAAAGGCTAGTATTGCAAAATGAACTTGTGCTCTCTTCCATTCCCTACTGATTCCTTTTGAGTTTTGACTAGACAGCAAGAGGACAACTTGGCACCAGCTTACCATGGCAAATTTGTTGATTTATAAGGACTGAAATCTCTGTGGCACTTTTTACCCTACAGTCTGGAGATGAAACAGAAGGACTCAACTATGCAAAATTCTAATATTAATGGAAATGACAAATAATAAATTTTATATAGGTACCAAAGAATTTATATTCATCACTTAGACTACCGGTAACCTTGGAAAGATAACCTGGCTTATGGAAATACAGAACTCCCAGATTTTCAGCAATATATTCCATTGCAGTTTTCTAGTACAGATGCTAGAGGAAACACTGAAAATGAAGTAAAAATGGGGTGGGAAATAAAAAAAAAACAACCAGACTGGTTTACAAAGGGCTGTTTTCTTCTTCACCTGACATACAGAAGGAATCATAATGACAGGGAAAATCATACAAAGAGTGCAACTTGATTAAGAATGATACCCCTGATGTTTCAGGCTTCAGTTGAGTTTCTGCTCCTCTGCAACATCTGGCCCTTTTGCCAATGCCTGAATGTGAAGCTTGGGTGATTCCTATCAGGAGTTACAGCTCCCTCCGTTAGACTTTGCTCTTTAATTATCCAGAATAGGACAAATCGACATCTTCAAAGACCAGTACTATCTGATTATTTCCATCCACATAATCTTCAGATTGCCCTGGAGCATTTTGCTGTCTCCTAGATCTAGGTAAGAGTTTTGATCTGATTTCCCATGCTTTTGCTCGCTAGGCACTGAATATTTTTGTGTCCATCTGCTCACAAACTGGAACCAGAAGTGCATATGTGAAGTTGCAGCTCAGCTCTCATTTGTACAGAAGCAGGTCTGTCATTGTTTTTTCTGCTGTTTTATATAAAACATTCAAACCTACCGCTGGTTCTTGGACACTGAACTTTTTTTGGTCCAGAAAGACCAGCCTGAGCTTACATTTTGTAGGTATAACTAATAGAAACCAGTCCCTCCATAGTGCTGAATTTTGGTTCCTCCAAGGACAGGAAGGGCTGGCTTGAAAAATCTCATCACTAAAAAACCAAAAAGCCCCACCAGAAGTACATTTTCATAGAACCACTTGCTGTTTGCGTTTTTATAGGTCAGACTAATTTGAAATGCATAGGCAAATCTTTCAGGTTCCCTCCTACTCCTGCTTCCTATTGTAAAGGTAAAAATTCCATTTTATGGAAGTTGATTAGTTACTTGTCAGTATTTTTAGCAAGGCTGTGCCTGAATGAAGTTTAAATCATAGCAAAGGTGAATGCAGCTTGATGGGAGCCACATACCTCGAAAGGCAGCCCTGTCTGGTTCATCTGGGATCAACTGTAATTCTCTGCTCATTAAACCATTTCATTCTGATAAAATACGTTAAATGAAAAAGTTTTTAGAGAAAAAAAGAAAAAAAGGAACATTATCCTTGCCAAAAAAAAACCCTTCTGTTAATTACAGGGTTTTTTCTTTCTGAGGAACATCCGTGTCTGTTCATATACATGAACCACACTAACTAGGAAATGTGTTTCAGAAAAATAATAGCTGAAAAAATAATAAGAGGAATTTCTAATTAATTTTTGCTGCTGAAAATATTTACTTACTCTTTGAAGAGTTCAAATTATCATCTGATATTTATAAGCTAAAAAAAATTGTTAGTATATAAAAATGTTTTGTAAATTCTGCTTTTGTCTTTGAGCTGAGAAAACAATTATCAAAATTTATTGATATATGCTTATTTATTTTGGAAACATTTATGAAAATCTTGAGTTTAATTTCCTTCTGCTTAATTTCCACCTTTGTACTAGGAATAATATTGTACACGCTGTGAAATATTTCACTGTTGTGAGGCTAATTTCATTACTAATTGTCAGGTACTCTTATTATTATAACTGAAGTCCATAAAAATGTCTATTAAAAATACAAACACAATATGAAATCCCCCTCCTTCTCCAAGCAAATGACTCATGCAGGCACACTGATCAGCTAAGATAATATATTAAATAGTTGCACCCTTGCTGAGCTCTGTCTATTTTCTCACTGACTCATCCTTTTTAGCTACATGCGTAGCTAATTCTTAATTATCTATTATCTAATTAACTATTAGCTTATCTTGTATTTCATCCTCTTTTGAACTTCAAAAAGAATCTCAGTTTTGGATTCACAAGCCAGTCTCCAGCTGCTTCTAATGGGAATCTTGACTATTTTCAAGGCAAATCTTGGTCCATCTCAATGGACTACATGAAAATAATTAGTTTAAAAATACAAGTTTTGTGCAGAAATGGCCTTTGGTTGTCTTTGACATGCTTAGATAATGGGCTCCTCTGTCAACCCCTGCAACTGTGTTCTCCTTCGTGAGGGCTCCAGACTTTCAGTTCATCTCCAGCACCTTTGCAGAGCTCTTAGAGCCTCCCATCTTGCACTTCATAGACCCTAATTTTTCCAGCTTGCCTTTATTAAACATAAAACTGAAAAATACATTCTTTTCCTGTTAGATCTCTTATTATAAACAACTTGTTCATTCTCATTATACCAGCATGAAAATCCCCTGAGGATGACCAAGACAGGATCTTGGTGCTGTCACAAACTGCCTTGATTGCATGCTGCAGGCACAGCATGCGCTCCCGTATCCGAGCGCTGGTGATCTCAGCCACAAGAATACTAGAAATAACCTGATGTGTGTAACAGGGAATAAGAGGAAGGATGCATTTTATGTAAATTTAATCAGAAAGTCCTGAAGTGGCTTGGAAGGTTGGCAGAATATAATATACCTGAAGACTCTTGTGTTGTTGCTTAGCAGAGGTGGTGTTGTTGGGTCGGGTTTCTGGCAGCATGGGGCATGTTAAGGGAGCAGAGAGCTTCTCTTGACACACTGCAAAACCCTGTGGTGGACTCATGAGTGTGTTTAGCACATCTTAAGCTCCTGTGACATTGAATATTTAGTATGAAAAACGTTGATAGCACACTCTCCAGCTCAACAGCCTGTGTGTGAGCCACAGCCCACCCTGGCACAGGAAACGGGTGAGAGAGCTCTCCCAAAGCCTGAAATCCTGGTGCTGGAGACACACTGAGCTGTGAAATCCCTGCCAGCTTGGGCCATCAGCCCTCAGTGCTGCCATCTCCTTTGCTCCTCATGGCTGTTTCAGCGTGTGCCTTTGCACTGTTTTAAATAGTTTTATTGTAGGAAATCCCTCCTGCCTCCTCTATCACAGCGTTGCTCACTGCTGTGAAATTGGCAGTGCAGAATCCATTAGCTCCCAGCTGCAAGACAGATGGCATCTGTCTGTGGTGAGAGAAGGTTTGTTGAGAAAAGGCCTTGCAAATGCTTCCCAAAGGACATCAGACCTTACTTTTCCTGAGAGAGATGCAGACAGCATTGATTACAAATAGACCTAGATCTTCCTTGTTCTCCACAGGAACAGGTGTTTCTTTTGCCTTATCAGCCACACACACACTCAAAGAAAAACATGGCTAGTTCTGGCTCTCAGTGCACTCTTTGTGATGCCCTGTGAGCATCATCAGCTGGAACTCAGAAACGAGGGGATTTGGTCTTTATTGTAACACTCAGAACAGGGTAAGGAGCAAGCCCAGAAGGTGGACAAGAAATGGGACGTTGAGCAGGTTGTGGTGCTCTGGAGAGTCACAGCCTTTCTGTGAAAGCTGGTTCAGGGATGTAGATTGAGACAACTCTTGGCTCTACTGCAGTTTCACACCACAAACCAACCTGGCACTAAAGACAGAAAGATGAGCAGGAAAATGGTTCATTA